TTCTAGGCTTCTCTGGACGCCCACTGTCCTGGTGCAGGTCGACGCCAATCTTGCCCCGCCACTTTTGCCAGACGCTCCAAAACTCCTTCTCCATGCCGCTCTCCATCTGGTCGGGTAGCACGATGACGTACTCGACATAGAGGTTGCCGAACTCCTTTTGGTGGTACACGCTGTCAATGTCTTCGTGCCACTTGGGCATGCCCTCGTCCTTCACCGTCTCTACAAAGTTGGGCTGGACAACCTCGCCCCTCGCCCTGCCGAGGCGGACAATGTGGCCATCCATATGTGTGAGGTTGCGGGTCCAGTCACCCATCCAGGCCTCGCGCAGCGACAGCACCTCACGCCAGTACAGGTCGTCGCCCTTGCGGCGGAAGAAGACACCGTCAACGCGGTCAGGGTTGTCGGTGCCTTCGAGCTCGGGCTCCTTCTCGGCGAGGGTGACGACGAGGTTGCCGGCGACAAAGTCGGGGCTCGCGTCTGCCTCGTTCTCGTAGACAATCTGCGAGTCGCGGGCGGCGCCGGGGTCGATCTTGATCTGGACGGTCGTGGGCTTGCGCTCGACGCGGGCGCCGTTGCAGGTCGGGCACTTGTGGCGGATGGACTTGCCACGGCCGCCGCAGGCGTCGCACTGCATCTGGACCTGCTGGTACATGCCGGGGGCGAGCTGGTGCTTGACGATGCGGATGCCGCGGCCCTGGCAGTGCTGGCACGTGTCGACGGTGCCGTCGGCCGAGCCGGTGCCCTCGCAGTCCTCGCAGATGTGCTGCTTGTCCCACTGGAACTCGGTGGTGCGGCCGTTGTAGAAGTCGCGCAGGGCGATGCCGACCTTGACGTTGACGTCGGGCCCCGTGCGCACGCCGGGCTGGTGCCCATAGTGGCCGCCGCCGCCGAAGAAGCGCGAGAAGACGTCAAAGGGGTCGTGGTGCTGGCCACCGCCGCCCTGCTGCTGGTGCTGCTTGAGACCGTCGAAGCCGTACCGGTCGTAGATGCGGCGCTGCTCGGGGTCGATCAAGGCCTCGTACGCCTCGGATACTTCGACGAATTTCTCTTTCGCCGTCTCATCGCCACTGCAGAGGGGGAGAACCCAGACTTGGTCAGAGACGTGGCACGTGTGGTGAGATGGGCGGGCTGCCGGTACGGTGGAGGGGCAGGGCAAGGGGTAAGAGGAGATGAGGAGGGAGCTGCATACGGGTTCTTGTCCGGGTGGTACTTCTTGCTGAGCTTGCGGTATGCAGACTTGATCTCACGATCCGATGCCTGCTTGTCGATGCCGAGGAGGTTGTAGTAGTCCTCGGCGCAAAGGGCAATGGTGATAAGAGACAGCAGCAGCAGCAGCAAGGCTGCTCCACGGAACACCATGGTCGCGGTCTTGTCCGCTCAGGAATTGGGGGAGGACGTGAGGTGCAATCAACTCTCTAGAGAGTAAGTGGAAACGCCGAAACTAAAAGAGTGACTGAAGGCAACGGAACCACGTCAGGGAAGCAAGTATGTAGAAGACCGGCAGACAGATGGGAGGGGATCGCTTCGGCACTGGCTAGCATCGCGACCAAGAAGTTCCAACGTGTTAAGACGGAGGCTTTGGAAGGTAGCGATAAGAGCGATAAGATAATCTTTTTGGACGCTCTTATCAGCTGCTCGGCTCCACTCCACCCACTCGAAGGCGAGGTGCGCCAACAAGTAGGTACCTGGGTACCTGGGTACCTGGCGAAGCGTGAAAGCGTGAAGCAGGCAGGGTCTCATCATCCTCATACTTCAGCTCCAGGGCGCTCGTCAGGGTTGGCTGTGTCCGGTTTATTACAACTCTCTTGCTGGCGCATGTAGTCGCAGCCCGTTGCCAGTCATGTCGAGCAAAAAGTACGCATTCCTCCCAATGGGAGACGACGAGCTTGGCCCGGCCAAAGTCACGAAGGAGAAGAAGGAAAAGCGATCCAAGCATCGCCACCGCGACAACGATCGCAATGACAGAGACCGCGGCGAACGGTCTTCGAGACGACGCAGCCGGTCTAGGTCACGGTCGCCCCATCGCCCCGCCAAGCAGCAGTACCGAAAGCGCGATACCGATGCGGACGACAGGTGGGCCGACGAGGAACCGCCTTCGGACATCGACAACGTGGGAGAAGAGCCTGAATTCAAAGAGTCGGCGCCGAAACGCGTCAAGCTCAGTCATGACGAGGGCGGCCGTGATGGCGACAGGGACGCAGACTTGTCCGACGGCGCCAGGGAGGAGCTCGAGCGCCAACGCGATATCGAGGAACGAGAGGCGTTCGCCAAGCGACTGAGAGAGAAGGACGACGGCAAGTCAAAGCCGCGCGACAGCAAACGAGGCCCAGAAAGCGCTGCCGACCGCCTCGCCGCGATGCCCGACCTGCGTCTCCGCAGTCGACAGCAGTACCTACAGAAGCGCGAGGCCGAGAAGCTGGCGCTGCTTCGCAAACAGGTCGCCGAGGAGAGTGAGGAGCTGAGGAGCGGCGTCAGGCTGTCGGAGCGGGAGCGGGCTGACTTTGCGAAAAATCGAGAAATCTTGCGCCTTGCCGAGGAGCGTCTCAAGATCGACGACCACAAAGACGGATACTACATGCCTGAGGACTACATCACCGAAAAGGGCAAAATCGACAGCAGGAGGAAGGAGGACGCGCTATACAAGAGATATGTCGAGAAGGACGAGTACGGCCAGGAGAAGTTCGTCACTGAACATGACGAGTGGGAAAGGGAGCAGACTGCGAAGGCCAAAGCCCAGATCAGCAGAGGCGAGCGTGAGAACGACGACTACGACTATGTCCTCGACCACGACCAGTACATTCAGTGGAACCTGGACTCTAGGCTGCCGGGCGAGGGCAAGACCATGACGAAGGAGGAGGCATTTCTTGCCGCCCAGATTGAGGCTGCCGAGAAGAAGCAGCTCTCGATCCAGGAGACGAGAAAGAGCCTGCCCATCTATCAGTATCGGGATGACTTCCTAGCGGCCATGGAGAAATACCAAATTCTGGTCATTGTTGGCGAAACGGGATCAGGCAAAACCACGCAGCTCCCGCAATACCTTCACGAGGCAGGTTACACAAAGAATGGCGCCAAGGTTGGCTGCACGCAACCTCGTCGTGTCGCCGCCATGAGTGTCGCGGCGCGTGTCGCCGATGAGGTTGGTGTCAAGGTTGGTCAGGAGGTCGGCTACAATATTCGTTTCGAAGACAACACAAGCGACAAGACAATCCTGAAGTACATGACGGATGGCATGTTGCTGCGAGAATTCATGACGGAACCTGATCTCGCTGGCTACTCTGCCATCATGATCGACGAGGCGCACGAGAGAACCGTGCACACGGACATTTTGCTTGCCCTGCTGAAAGATCTGGCCCGAGAACGACCCGACCTCAAGTTGCTCATCTCCTCGGCCACAATGAATGCGGAAAAGTTTGCTGCTTATTTCGACGATGCCCCCATTTACAACATTCCTGGCCGTCGCTATCCCGTCGACATTTACTACACGCCCGCCCCGGAGGCGAACTACCTTGCCGCTGCCATCACTACCGTCTTCCAGATTCACACGACACAAGGCAAGGGCGATATCCTCGTGTTCCTGACTGGTCAAGACGAGATTGACTCGGCTGAGCAGCAGATTGCCGACACAGCAAAGAAGCTGGGGAACCGTGTGAAGGAGCTCATCATCTGCCCAATCTACGCTAATTTGCCTTCGGACCTCCAGGCGAAAATCTTTGAGCCCACTCCTGAGGGGGCTCGAAAGGTCGTACTGGCCACGAATATTGCAGAGACGAGTTTGACAATCGACGGTATTGTCTACGTCATCGACCCGGGCTTTGTCAAGGAGAACGTGTACAACCCAGCTACTGGCATGTCCAATCTCGTGGTGGCGCCATGCTCTCGAGCTTCAGCAAACCAGAGGAGCGGTCGTGCCGGTCGTGTCGGCCCAGGAAAGTGCTTCAGGCTGTACACCAAGTTTGCCTATATGAACGAGATGGACGAGTCACCCATGCCCGAGATTCAGCGCACGAACCTCAACGGCGTTGTCCTACAGTTGAAGTCGTTGGGCATCAACGAACTGCTTGACTTTGAGTTCATGGACCCCCCTCCTACGGAAGCACTCATCGGTGCTTTGAACCAGCTGTTTGCTCTGCAAGCGCTCAACCACAAGGGTGAGCTGACAAAAATGGGGCGCCAGATGGCCGAGTTTCCTACAGATCCAATGCTGGCCAAGGCTGTCTTGGCTGCCGACAAGGAAGGCTGCGTCGAGGAGGTCTTGTCCGTCGTGTCGATGCTGTCAGAGGCCTCGGCCTTGTTCTTCAGGCCCAAGGACAAGAAGATCCATGCCGACAGTGCCCGCGCTCGGTTTACTGTCAAAGAGGGCGGTGATCACCTGACGCTGCTCAACATATGGAACCAGTGGGTTGATAGTGACTTCTCGCCCATTTGGTCTCGCGAGAACTTCTTGCAGCAGCGCTCTTTGACGCGCGCTCGCGATGTGAGAGACCAGCTCGCCAAGCTCTGCGAGCGCGTCGAAGTGTCCCCTTCGTCCTGCGGAGCTTCCAACCTCACACCCATCAGACGAGCCATCACGGCCGGGTTCTTCCCTAATGCCGGACGTCTACAACGCAGCGGCGACAGCTACCGCACCGTCAAGAAGAACGCCACCGTGTACATCCACCCCAGCTCGGTCCTCATGGGTGTGGACCCCCCAACGAAGATGCTCGTCTACTTTGAGCTGGTGCAGACCACCAAAGAGTACATGCGCAGCTGTATGCCCATTGAGCCCAAGTGGCTTGCTGAGCTTGCCCCCCATTTTTACAAGAAGAAGGACATGGAAGGACTCGAGGACAAGAAAATGCCTAAATCACGGGACTGATGATGTAGCTCAATGAGGTAACTAGATAAGCCATATGGTATGTGGATACTGACCACGCGGGCTTCCGCGTTATACGTTGTCCCTTCTGCACCCATGTTTGCCGATGTCCGACATGTGAGTTCGTGTCCTCGTCAAATGAAAGATGCTCACAAAATAACTCTGTGAAAGATGCTCACAAAATAACTCTGCTATTTTCGTCTTCTCTCAGGGCGATGCTCGTCAGATGGGAGGGGCACAGCGGTGTGACGTCTAGATCACTTGCCGAATATTCTTCGGTAGCACTGTCAGGGACACAAGACAGGTGGCAGTGGCCGTGCAAACACCATCATATGGGTCAACTGATAGCTCGCCACGCAATGGTGCACCGCCATACAGGCCTTCGGCAGTCGGTTATGATGGGTATCGTCACGACTGATGGGTTGCCCACGTCGTTGAGTCTTCCTCGGCGGCAAACCGCAGGGCAAAAGTGCGACAGGGAATCTGTAGGACCAAGCAATGTTTGGCTCAACGTGGTGCTGCCTCCTGGAGCGTCTGGTGCTGGTGGGAAAAGCCGTTTGCCTTATCTCCCGGGCCGCCGATTTGTTCCATCATTCCTGAGTTCGTCTCCGCTGTTGCAAGATAGGCGAGATGGCTATAAGAGGTGCTTGCTGACCCTTTGTGTGTGATGGGACGTCTCTCCATACATCTTCAAAGCCCACATACATGGACACCAGCTAGTCGGGGCTCGTCGGCAATACCTGCTCGCTGTCAACTCCTTTTAAAGTTTCCCTTCTTTCCAACTCTCACCACCATGGTGCTCCCCACGGTTTCCTTCGTCAATCTTCTGGCGATCAGCTTAGCTGGCTTCGTCGCATCCCAGAGTGACGATTTTGACTGCTGCTTTACCCTCGAAGTCTCTGGCGACTTGGGCGGCAAGGTCAAGCATGGCACTACTGGTGACCTCCGCGTCCATAGCAACTTCCAAGAAGCTTTCATGTGCGCTTACGAGAGCGCCGACCGACTTCAGGACAGCATCGGCAACAGCTGCCGGTTCAGTTCCCCTTCGATGAAATTTGAGTGCGTGAGCGGCGTCCCCGGCGACGGTGACTTCTTCTTCGACTTTGGCGAGGCCACCGACGGCGGAGAGAAGCCCATACTGCTCACGTACGACGGCCACGACAAGTTTCTTGCCTGCCCCTCGGAAGGGCCAAGCTCCGACGCCGGGAGCTTCGTCTTGTACTCCCGGGCCAAGGAGGACCAGGAAGGGTGTGTCGACGTGTCGCTTCAGCAAGTCGGACCGAGCAGCGCCTGCTACGACCGCGGCCACCTCGAGAAGTTCAGGTCGCCTACAAAGTCCACGCGCGCTCCCGTGACGGGCACCATCGAGGAAGTGTCTCCGGCGCGCAAGAGCTGCACGCTGAGCGACACCTCCACAAGGCTGCCTGCCAAGCGGGTCGGGTCGGGGCCTCTGGACGGCCTCGTTGTCAACCCGGACGGCTGGGCCAGCATCAACGACGAGAACAGCACCGTTTTCGAGTTCGAGATGGCGCCGCTGTGGGTGAACCACCCCCCGCGACGCGACCACCCGCCGCTGCGCCGTCGAGTTTCGCTTTCCCGCCTGCGCGAACCTGCCCGAGGGTTACCCGTGTGCTTCCTGGAGCGGGTCGGAGCAGCAGGACTCGGCTGGCGCGGGCATGGAGTGGCATCATGTCTACACGCGCGACGATCCTGCGGCTTCGAGCCGCGAGACTTCTGCGGGGCCTGTCGACTGGGCGCCATGGGATGATTTCTATCAGTTCGGGTCCGAGGACGCCATCACCGTGGGGACCTTTGAGTGTGGCATCGACCGCAGCGGGGGGGTCATCAGGACGATCAGCTTTTTGGCGGAGAGCGTCAATGGTTGGAGCCTCTCCTTTGCGCAGGCTGGCATGGGCACGCAGAGTCAGTGGCCGCTTGGTGTTGGAGCCTACGTTACTGCATGTGATGACACCACGCCGTGGCCTTAGATGTCTGGCTGCGGGCGGCATGGCTTGAGGTTCTCACATGATCCATGAAGGGGCCGGCCACCTTGCTGATTCTCCTTTGAATGTTGAAAAACAGAAAAAAAGAGAAGAAAAAGGGATGCTTGTCTGGCTTTGAATTTGAAGCTTCCAGTGCCGTCCAGACTGGAACAGTGCCCGGTACAACAGAGAAAAAATTGAAGGTTACTTTATCATGAAATACGTTGTCATGCCCAGTGAAAAGCCCAGCGCTTCCTCCTTCGCAAAGAAATAGAATTGTCATGCTCGACTTGGTCAGCTCTACTTGGTCAGCACGCCAAAGATGTGCGGCAGAGTGTGATACCACGGCTCCTCCGGGGGCTGGGCCAGTTCGAAACTCTGCCACTCGCCGGCGTTCCTGAGCGCCGTCTCGGTGTCCCGGCAAAGCTCGCAGCCACCAATCACATGCGGCCAGAAGAGGTTGACAAAGCCTGGTAACGTTGTCAGCGGGCAGTCGAAGGGGAAAATAGTCCACGGTGAAAGGCGGGCGAAGAAATGCGTAGAGCGAGGGGCCGGGGAGAGAGACCTACGCTGATAGAGCTTCATGAACAGGTTGCTTTTGGCCTGCACATGCTCGTAAACATACCAACGGCCGCCCTTCTTCAGGTAGCCGTAGAGAGTGGCAATGTTGGCCTCCTGGTCGGGGATACTGCAGAGGCACAGAATCGAGACGATGCAGTCGACGCTCTCGGGCTCAATCTTGCCATCCCACCGGCTCGCATCCCCGAGCTCCTCGATACCAACGGGCACGACCTCGTAGACGCCGTCGAGCCCGGCCTCCTGGACGCGCCGGCGCAGCGCGGACTGCGATGCGGCGTTCGGCTCGACGCCAAAGACCCTCCGGACGCCTCCAACCTTGGCGAACATGTTCACCCACATGCCCGAGCCGGCGCCGACCTCGATGACGACGCCGCGCACGCGGAGGGCGGCGGCGGGCGTCCTGTCCTCGTCCGAGTCGTCTTCGACGATCCGCCCGCCGCGACGCGTCCTTCGAGGAAGTGCCCCCACGCGCGCTTGCCCCCTTCGCGCACGCTGGCCCTGCCCACGCCCAAGCGCCGACCAGGCTGCCTGCAG